AGGAATCTTCATCACCTACCTCTGTTTTCTCCATGTTCACCTGAAGGCCTATCTTTGATGCTTCTTCTTCTTTGAACCTGTTGCTTTTCACTTGCAAATCTTCCAGTTTGTGGGAAATCAGACACATATCATAGGTAAAGTCCAGATCCTCCAAGTTTTTTGTGTGGGTCCATTTTATGCCTGTTTCCTCATTGCCCGCTGTTTGTCGCATTATCCAGTGTACTGCAATCAGGAAAATCATTGGCGATAGTAGGCAGGCAGCTTGTCTTACTCCCGTCTTCACTTCGAAGGATTCCGTAAGTTTCCCGTTGTGGACTAACTGACATGCAGCATTGTCGTACAACTGTTGGATGAGATGTATAATTGTTGGCAGCACCCCTTGGTAGTAGCGAAGTAGTCGCCAAATCACCTCTCGATCAACGCTGCGTTGCCGAAGGCCTTTTCACAGTCGATGAAGTCAAACGAGGTAGACAGCTGACTGCCATTCCAAGCTCTGTTCAATTATGTGATCCGTAGTTTTGCGATTTGCCCGATACATACATAACTCGTTCCTCTTGAATCCAGCCTGTTCTGGTCGAAGTTTAGATATTATATTGTATTACAACACTATATTTCTTTGTGGCGAAGACACGAAGCCAAGGTATATTTTTGTGCTCTGTATATATTTTAAATATTTTGAATATATATATGCTAGGGTGTCATTATTTTCTGTTTCAATATTTCAATTATTATTATTATTTAGTCAAATATCTTATTTATTAACGATCGATATAACTGTTAACACAGGCTATACGTTGAATATATAATAGCGACTTTAATAATAATACGACTAATTATTGTTATTTATTTATATTCAATGAGAAAAGGTTAAACTGCACAGATTAATAACCTTGACATTATTGATGCGTGTCAGCAGAATGCCAACTCAGTTTTATTGATTTCTACAAATTCAATGACAAAAAAAAACACATAGTTCAACGAAAGAGTATCTTTTCGGCGGTGAATTCATTTTCTCAGCTGTACAATCGCAAATATATATATATATATATATATATATATGGGTTATTTTGTATGCATGTGTACATTAAGTTTACCAAACAAAAATACAATTTAGCGGAAATATTCACTCAGACATGTATAAAACACAAAATAATCGAGCAAAGAATATCCTTTTCGATAGATAATATCCTCTTCTGGCTCTACAATTATATATACATACGTTTATATACATAGAATATTCTAGATTAGTAGTCAACACTAATATTGGTGTGCTTTTTAAATAATAATATCGATTTGTTAAATAAAAACTCGATGGAATTAGAGTTCATTAAAGATGCTTAAATTATAATGATAATAATAATAATAAAGATATAGTAGCAAATAGAATATCAACTAAAATTAGGAAATTTCCACAAAAATTCAGGATCATTCAAACCTAGATGGCCAATGGGGTAAGGATAATGTCTGAACTAGCCTCTTTTGAACGCAAAAATTAGGCTTCTTAATATGGATCCCAACAGCCAGTTTCAGCAATATTTAGTAGTCGAACTCTTAAGGTGAAATTGAGATTCGTAAGTATGCGGTAAATGACCCTGAAAGCATGGTTAACATCAATCTTGTGTTCTGTATCCACAAGATGAGATAGAATAGCGCTATGTGAATAGACTTTGTTTTTCCTTTACTTAATCAACCACTGTGCAGAGTGATGTTTGGAAATTCGACGAGAAACACGCCTAATTGTACGGCTTATGCAACTAGCTGGCTTAACAGGAGCAGTTAAATTGGTAGATACACATGAAAGAGACGAAATTAGTCAGTTTATCTTTTACTCCCGAACGCAAAAGAGGAGTGGTTTTGAAGACACAGCGTAATTCGGCAGCAAGGAATGCTTTTTTACCGCATTTCTAAGGCATTGTGTAAGTATCTCGCTGATTATGGTTATTTTAACTAAAGAGGTGAAAATTATTAAGTTTTGCGTAGAGTTACATAATAAAAAAACGGTCAAGATAATTGGGTGTTAGTGAAATTAGGGTAGTAACAAAGGTGATGAGTTGTCACAAACAGTTGTTAAAAAGAAGTTACGTAATAATATGAATAGTTTGATGATTGAGTTGTACTCAGGATGCACATAAGGAACAAAGTAGAGAATACAAAATTACGTAAGAGTTCTAAATGAATACAAGAATTATAAGCAATTAAAGAAACAGGCAAACAAACAAAATTAAGTCATCAAAAATCAACAAAGTTGTTATTATGACAGTAGAAGTGGTTGAGTAATTCTCTTTTCAACATAGCAAAAATATTCATTCAGACATCTATAAAACACAAAATAATCGAGCAAAGAATCTCCTTTTTCGATAATTTCCTCTTCCAACTCTACAATTATATATACACATATGTTTATATACATAGACTATTCTAGATTAGTAGTCAATAACAACACTGGCGTGTTTCTAATAATATCGATTTGTAAAGTATGATCAATGCAATTACAGTTCATTAAAGATGCTTAGATAATAATAATAATAATATAATAGCAACTAGAATATCAACTAAAATTGGGAAAATTCCACAAAAATTCAGGATCATTCAAACCTAAATGGCCAAGGTAATGATAATGACTGAACTAACTTCTTTTGGATGCATAAATTAGGTTTATTAATATTGATCCCTACAGCCTCAGCAATGTTTTGTATGTTTTGTTGTCTTTTGTATGCACAGCTCCGGTTTTTCTATGTGAATTGTCAGAGCTTCAGCGATACAAAGAAGATGAAACAGTATTGCTTTTGATAGGTTATACTTGACTATGTAGATTACTTTGAAGCAGGAGGCGTTTGTTGCGATGGAATGATCAGTGTTAACCAGGTGTTCAATTATCGCACTCCTTATAGCACCACTATTACCTTTTCGTAACCATGCTGGACAGTATTCTTGAATCCTCTTGGACAGGATGCGCGTCGGACGACCGATGTACCTGGCTCCACCCACAGCAGCAGGTAAACTGATATATGCATATAGAAGCAGTCAGATGCGGGACCTTGTCTTTGGGGCTTCTGCAGATCAGTGGGCGACTGGTGAACACTATTCTTAGCGTTGCTGCAAAGAATGTTCCTCTCAGAGATGATGTTACCCTTCTCTTGAGAATATCGCTTGCTAAATCTCCCTTGAAATCCAAGTTCATGTAGAGTTTCTTTTTCGGTGCAAGTGAAGTTTCATTTCTCCAAATTCTTGGTTTGATATTTTTGTCAATGAATCTTGATGGGTATCGATTTTAGATGAAGATTTCTGTCGAAATGAATTCGCTGCCGAAAAGAGACTATTCGCTGAACTACGTGTTTTGTTTTCATAAATGCCTGGATTGGGATTATTCATAAATTAAAGCGTAACGAGAACCCTTCTATAAATTTATCGTTACTGAATTCTAAATGACTCGTCATGATGTTGTCGCCTACCATTAGTGGAAATGATAGAAGAAAAAAAAACCATTAACTGCAAAACATACCAGCCAGCATATTTCCTACTATAGTAGCTTTGAACTGGACTCCAGATGAGCATAGAGAAGACGGAGGTGATGAAGATAACCCACCAATCAACAGCAACAGCAACAGTAACAACAACAACAACCAGGGCCAGTCACCATCAACGAAAGAAATGTGAAAGAGGTTACTTCACTCGCTTATCTGGCTACGCAGCATCTCAACTCAACAACCACAGGCGGTGGCACGGATGAAGATGTCAACACCAACCAGCCAGAATCGGAAAGGTAAGACAGATTCTTTATAACTCTTAAATCAATTTGAAAATCTTCTGCACTCACTCAGTATACGGAACAAGATTCGAATTCTATGCAACACAAATGTGACGTCAGTCAGCCAATTAGTCACTTCTTCTGTATGGGTCAGAAACTTGACCAGCGTGTCATGAAAAGAATTGCCAACAATTTACGGACTTTCATCAACAGCTGTCTTCACTGACTGCATATTGGAGGTGAAATAGCCGGCCATAAGGAATTAGAAATAAGAAATTATGGGAAGAAACCAACCAAGATCCAATTTCTCAACAAATATTTAGGGGAAAGTGTAGATCGACTGGTCACACACACACACACACAGAGAGGAGACCGTTGGGTGATATCTCGTGCCAGACTCTCTAGTGGAACCCAAGTGAGCCATCCAAAAGTGACATAGAGGAGATCGTGCGAGGAGGAGATGAGAGGTTATGAGAAATCATGCAGTCAGCTGAAGAGGACAGCAGAAAATAGGATAAACTGGAGATATGTCGTTAAAGCCCTATGTTCCCTCAGAACCCAAGAAAAAGATACTAATAATAATGTAATCATTATTATTATCATTATTCCTTCAGGTTCTGAGCAGAGCATAAGGTGCCACAACAGCACATCTCAATTCCACCCTTTTATCTGCAGGTCTTTCAAGCTTACTCCAAATTGTTTATAAGCTCTCATTTCCACCTGTTCACACGATCTTCTGCATGATACCCTCAGACCCACATCCATAATCGTCGTTTCCCGTTGGATTACTCAACAGTCTACTCAGCCTGTGTTCATTCCATTTCCTTTCCCTTCTACATATTTTTTGAGCGAGACGTTTTTGGCTGATATAGGGTCAGGCTGGAAAAGAGCTAGCCAGTGGTGGTCAAACCAAAACATGGCACCAGTCAATGAAATCAACTACAGTTAGTCTAAGCCAGCCACGTAGGAAGGTGTAGATTTCCTGACTGGTTGAGGTCCTAGGAACGGTAAACACCAATGAAGGCCGGAGACAATTGGTGGTATGACTCAAAGTGATCGTTCTCAATGGCTGGCTGGCGCAGTTAGATGTATCCACTCCTTGTGACTTATAATCAATCCCCAATGAAACTATATGGTTCTTCGTTATTTACTATTACCTATTGTTTCATATCCCTGTCTACTCTCTCTCTATTTTGCATTCCTCTTGTTTTGTGTGCTACATGGAGGAAGTGTGACGACTTGAACTGCTGCTGCTGCGTATCGATGCAAAGTTCTACGTTGAAAACAGACAGACAGACAGATGGATAGGCAGACATAATCCAATCATACGGAACAAGGTAACAAGGTATCTCAACAAAATACATTATACGCATGTATGTTATAGAAAAAAAAAGTGGAAAAACAAAAACAAAAATTGATATGGGTAATAATAATAATAATAATCATCGTCATCAGTGTCAACAAAAAAATAATAAGAGTAATAATAATAATAATAATAAACCTTCACAACAAACAAAAGTAAGCAGTTTACATATACATATACATATATATAGCAATGAAGCACTCGGAATAAAGTGGTATTATTGTATGGCTTTATGCAATGGAATATCCTCTGATAAACTCTCCCTTCATCACACACACTCCAGGTATACAGAAATTACTACTATTATGTATAACTAACTCATTTAACATTAACAGGCAATATTATGACTGGGAAACAACAAACAAACAAAGAAAAAAGAAAGAGAATTTTTACTTTTCTCGCCTAGAAATCCAGAAAGAAACAGGGGGGAAAACGAAGAAATATCGGTTGTTCAGATTTTGGTTCTTCTTTGTTTTATTTTACAGAATATTGACCATCCATTGTACATAGGTATGTATGTGTACTTGTGTGTAAATTAAGTAACTGTAGTGGTTGTTTTGTTTTTTGGGTATTTTTGTTTTTTAAAAAAAAAGAGGAGTGATTGATGTGAAAGAGTTTTCATATATTCTAGGATCGTTTGGATAGTTCATTCGACAGCCAATCCAAACCTTCGAATAGTCCTTGACCTTGTGTAGCACAAGCACATTGTATATGCCACTAGATTTAGTATAAGAAATAAAGGAGATAATATTATATCATTAGTGACAGTTGTGGGAGGAACCTGAAAGAAACAACCTCCTTTGCCTACCTACCTAGCTACCTACTTACCTACCTGGGAAGCATCGTTTCAACTACAGGCCAACGGAACTGACGAGGATATCAAAGGAGAGAGGATCACGAAAGCAAGACAAGCTTTCATTACTCTCAAGTCTGTGTGGAGGTCAACAGCACTACTCAGCATGAAAAATATGATCCAGATTTTCAAATCCAATGTGAAGTCAGGGCTGCTTACTATACGGATTAGAGACTTGACGCGTCATAAAGAGCACCTCAAACAAACTACACACCTTCATCAACAGCTGTCTTCGCTCAATACTACTCAAGATCAGATGGCCAGCCGGCCAGAAAATATCAGTAACAGGGAGGGATCTCTAGCAATGAACAAACCAACTAGAAGCCGATTGTGCAACAAATAGGCAGGAAGAAATGTAGATGGATTATCCATACACTGAGGAAACCATCAAGTGACATCACTAGACAAGCCTTCGAGTGGAACCCAAACGGGAAGCGGCGAGGTTGGTCGTTAGTGCGAGGGTGACATGGAGTGGAGGAGGTCATGTGAAGAGGAGATGAAAACACGTGGGCAGACATGGAGCCAGATGAAGACTCTAGCAGAGAACCGAACGCAATGGAGACATGCGGTTGAAGCCCTATGTTCCTCTAGGAATTAAAGGAAACAATAATAATAATAATTACTGATGGTCTCAATAATTGCGCACAAATTACAAGCAGTTCAGCAGTAGATCGCTGGTCAATCACACCACGTCACATGGTCCGGAGTTCGATCCCCAACTGATGTACTCATAAACCTCGCTATGTCGGTGGTAAGGCCGGTGAATGGAGAAGTTTGAGCTTGAGGCTAGGAACCTCACCCGGTAAAAATGACACCACTGCTACCGGAACATTAACGCTTTAGCTTGAAGTCTTATGTTCCACTAGGAATGTTTTGTACAATAAAATCAAATATACTTCCGCATACTTAGAGTATACGGAAGAAGACGCTGATAAAATGCACAGTTCCTTGAAAATCGTGAGCAGAAATCCTTGAATATTTGACATGTGTGTGATTCACACCTGTCAAATGCAAGACCGGTACTGCAGGAGTTGAACTACACAATAACCTCTAAATTGAAGATAAGGAGTGAAGTGGTTGAGGGCATTGATCATTTCACTTATTCAAGAAATCGCGTTAATTCCAATGCACTAAGTGCTAACAAAATCTCAGCACAGATACAGACACTTGTCAACTTACGTTAACCATGGCGTAGACAAGATATCCGACTGTCGATCAAAGGACGTGTTAACTGTACAAAACTTCGCTCTGTCCTCCTTTATGGCTGTGCGATGTAGCCATTGAAAGTTGAAGATACATCCCGTGTTAAATTGCACTGGGTTTAGGCGTAGTGTTAGGTAAGGAGGGCAAGTCAACCGATCGGGTTGTGAAGGATATGTGTTGCGCATGCTAAGTCACCAATTCATGAAGATTTTGACAATTGGTTTGAACTAGCCACATATGGGGGCGAAGGTTGCCTAGTTAGGGGGGGGTCTTGAGGATACTAAGAGCCAATGCCTGGAGACTATCGGAGATATGATGCAAAATAGTCTTCAGCGGTACAAATGTATTCACGCTTTATGTAATCTCACAGATCCATTAAATAGTAATGTTTTTCCATGTTACTGCTCTTTCTTCCTAACCCTTCTGCTCATTGTAGTATTTTTGAACGCCTTTTTTCAACGTTTGTGTGCTACATAGAATGTGGCAAATTGGACTGCCGCAGTTCTGTGCCGAGTTCTACGTTTAAATTCAGTTAGTGAATCAGTCGATACAATGATATTCTCAACCAAAACACAACACTTTAGCTTCTTGAATTATGTCAACACTAAACATTATTGATTTAATTAGTTGGAGGATTTCATCATGAGCTGACATTGGTTAGAGAACCAAACTATTGGAAAACCAGTAGAGAGTACTGGACAGCTGTTTCGTCCCAGTTTGGGACTCTTCACAGTGTGCACCCACCACTACAGGGGTTCGAACCCACGACCTTCTGGTTACAAGGCTAGCGAGCTCGTAGACTCTTAAGCCACTGGGACCCAATCCAATGACCAGCCCATGAATTCTAATTTCTGCCAATTCCTGGCATAGCGTGACCATTCCACAATGTCTTCTTAGATTATTTACTGCCTCACGGCTTTCCACATGAATCACCAGAGGCTTTTTATTATTGATAACGACTCAACTTGCTGTACCAACAAATTACTGACGGGGAATAATAGATAACTTATCCTCATAATGAACCAGGTAGCAGTAAATACACTAGAGAGAAAATAAAGTCTTACTCGATGGGATTCTATGACTGGTAGATAGCTAACCAAGACCTGCTCATCGAATTCACACGACTTTGTTTATGAAGATTCAACTGAAAAAAGACTACAGCTAAAAACAGCTCAGTCGAACGAAGTCATATTTATACCAGCGAGGATTAGAAATATGCACATATAGATTCTCACATGAAAGTGACTACTTATAATGATTTGGAAAGCTAAAAAGCACCAAAACAGCCCTTGAGTCCATAGAGTGTAGTTTACTGCTAAGTGCATTAAAATGAAAATGGTTATTTGGTTAGTGTGTTATTCATTTCACTTGGAGAACAGTACAAATGTTGAAAATAACCATTGAACAATCTTTTGTTTTTTACCTTCTTTAAAGACAGTGCACTCCTGAAGAATGCAGAGACGTTCATCATAAGCCAACACTACACTACCTTTAAATATCATGCTTTGACATACTATACAATAATTTATATGCATAATGTCATGCAGAAATTAAGCGCAAGTTCAATAACTAAGTGGTTTTGCTGTGACATTAGTCACAAAGATTCTACAATTCGAGTCACGTTCTATCTTCCGTGCTAAATGGTATAATAGGGTGAGCAATATTGAGGTGAGGCGTCGGTCGAGTACTAGGTAAAGAGGGGAAATTAATCGACGATTGAGATGGTCAGGACATGTGTTACGCGTGAATGCCCAGCCATTGCCTTCCTCGACGGGCAATGTTGGCTGACAGGGTCAGGTTGGAAAGGGGCCAGTTATGGTCAAACCAGAACATAGCACCAGTCGATGAAATCCACAAGTTACTTTAAGCCACGTAGGAAGATTTAGACTTCCTGACTGGTTGGGGTCCTCCGGACGGTAAACACCAATGACTGGAGACAATTGGTGATATGGCGGGAAATCGTTCTCAATAGATGGCGCAGATTCATCCACTCCTTGTGATTTACAATACCCAATAAAACTATATTGTTCTTCGATATTACTATTCTTTTTGCCTCATATCTCTGTTTACTGTCTCTATTTTGCATTTCTTCTACTTTCTTCTCTTGCTTTGTGTGCTGAGTGAAGTGTGGCGACTCGAACTACTGCACACCGATGCAAAGTTCTATGTTGAAACCAGAGAGACAGACATTCGAATCCTAGTATGTGCGACAGTGCAGAGCTATGGCCAGTTGGTCTAGGCACTCGACTTCCAACCCAACTCTATACACCAAAGTTTACACAGCACCGGGGAGCTTAACCAACACTCACACAAGAGGCGTGGCTCATTACCAACCGCATGAAATTGTAAGCGGTTGTTGAATAACACTGATATGCAACATTGTATGAGAATGTTGAAAATCGCACATATAGCAACTTATGTCGACATGTAATAATATTAAGCTTGATATCAAGAATGTTTATTTGTCTAAGCAAAATGTCTCAAAATAACACCGAATGAAGAATTTCAACTGTTCAGTGGTTCTTAACTTTTAATGGCATCCTGGATAGTACTGGCTTGTGGCGAAATTTATCGCAAAACAGAACAATTAATTAAACTGCGAAATGCAACTGATACACTGAAATACGTAAATATATTAGAAATTTTTGGACTCACACATGATGTATTTTTCTAAGTGTTTTAGCATACAGTTAGTTGGTTAGAACTTTTACCCGGAACAGGTTTTTCATGTACCACGGCATGAGTCACACTTATTGTGTAAAGGTTGATGATACTACCTAGTTTCACTGATTGAAGCTCACTAGCCAAATGTCAAGTGCCTGAGCCAATGAACCACATATGCACCTTAAAATAATCCATACTAGGCTCCCATCAAAATACTCAATTTAAGAAATAAGTTAATGCTAGGGTGTAACATTTAAGTTAGGGATGTAAATAAAACATGAAAGACTTAAATTCAACAAATTCAATCAAACTACACTTACAGGTCGATTGCGAATTTCTCGTAAACGCAATTTTTCTGCAACTTCAGCAGTTGACATTGCATTGGGTAAATCTTGTTTATTGGCAAAAACTAATATTACAACATCACGTAATTCATCCTCTGAGAGCATTTTATTCAATTCGTCTGCAGATTCGCCGATACGATCACGATCATTGCTATCTACCACGAATATGAGACCCTGAAATATATTAGATCAATTAAAAAGCAAAAAATACTTGTGTATTCTGGAAATAATGTCTCCATAAGCGTCGAATTTTGTCTTGACCACCTACATCCCATACAGTGAAACTAATATTTTTATACTCCACAGTTTCCACATTGAATCCAATTGTTGGTATTGTTGTGACTACTTCTCCCAGTTTAAGTTTGTATAATATAGTTGTCTTTCCTGCCGCATCAAGTCCAACTAAAAAGAAATAATTATGGTTAAATAGAGTACCCCAACATTATTTAAGAACACTATACAAATGAAGCAAGCAAGCAACGTATACAAATGTGAAATATACTTATACACATTTCTAACATGAAATGTAGCTAATGGTTGACAGTTATGTAGATAGGATAAAGATACTGATCGATCCAAGGAAACGGCTAATGAAATTACCGGCAAGCACCAGTGATCTTTGATGATTATTTCGATTTTCAGTAAAATATTAAAGATCCTTTAAACTGACTTCAGTCAGCTTGTATCCATAATTCGGACCTTCAACTACTGAGACAACAAATTCAAAATGAAACGGTTTTCTATACTAGTCTATAAGAATAGCAGAAAGTAAATCAATGACTTGAGTGGGATCTTGACTGGATGATAACAAGTAGACGTTTCCTTAAACATCTCAACTGCCAATTGCCTGAGTTAATAAAAGCCCTGAAAGCCTAAAACCAACAGCGAAGTATGCGCAGACAAAGTAGGTTATACTCATTTACAAAAGCGAACCGACCATGTATTCACGAACAGTTGAGTTCCAGAGCATGAGCACCCCATACTATTTTCCAACTTGAATATAGCACACTTCTACATAATTATCTAATAACAACCGAGGAATCGGACTTTCAGCCAACGTCACCATCTATTTAAAGCTCACTAAATGAGCAAATAAACCTAATATTGCTTAATTATTTCTCCATTTCCTGAAGTTTTGACGTACTTGTAATGGGCCCTACTTTGTCTTGAACTTGAAATACAAAAGAATATCAATTTACAGCATGTCTGAACTTCCTCTACAGCAGAATGCCTAAAATTTACAAGAATGACGTACACCGCATTAGCTACTTACGCCTGAACTACTACATCAACTCTTGTGAGGATGAGCGTCAATATTTTAGGACTCAGCTTTCAGCTAGTTCGAGTCTCTTCCTACCCACTCTAGTCTGGGCAACTGGGTAGCTTCATCAGCCCTCGCAACTAGTATAGTCCAGTACGCGGTAGGTGAGTACTAACTTTAACACAGCCAGTTCGCACTTTGAAAATTTAACTTTAAGTTTACGGATCATCCTGTCATTCGCCATTTGTGATCAACCTCGATTTATATGATAACCCCACCGCCATTATGCTCATTTTAAAGGACTACGAGGCTCAAAGAACAGTTGGGACCATTACTCCTACCTTGGAACTGTGTGACCTCGAGAACTCTAACCCAGAAACCATTCAATCTACATGGAATTCCACTCTATCTCACTTTAAATCCAACGGGGCTCAGTTAAGTTTTGGTATTGACCTCAAAAGTGAATTATGTGGCAAAAATAACTTTGCAAATGTCAGAAATGTACACCGTCTTTATGGTGACGTGAACGCTTAACCCTTAAATGCATATAAGGCAACTAAAATATTCTAGAGATGCGAAGGAGCAATTTTCGTTTGCAATAATAATCTCTTTCCCAACTACAATGCGATTCACAAGAAAACCTATTAATAACCGAAAAACACAAAAACCTATGAAGTAGCGAAGGATATGGTGTTCAAGGACTTAGTACACTACCTGTTCACTTGCAGAGAAGTGAGCACTGAATTTCATAATCTGACAGAAAGGGAAAGTTTCCAGAATTCGAAATCTCTGTAAGTATGCGATTAACAAGAGTCGTATAGAATATGAGAGACGGCTTGTACTAGATAGTGTTCACTACCCAAAAAGGCTCTTCTCGCATATTAAACGTAGGACTAAAACTAGCAATGGTATACCCTCACTCATAAGCATTAGTGGAGAAACGGCTGAGTCAGACGAAGGAAAGGCTGAAAACCTCTCTGAATACTTCTGTGACGTCTTCTCGTCCGATAGTACCACCCAGGGATATGGCGAGGTCACTGCCATCGCCACTCAGATGCCCTCAATTGTGGTAGAGCACACAAAAGTCCTCAAACTACTGTCTAAACTGAAGCCAGGTAAATCACCTGGGCCTGATGGACTTCACCCTAAACTGTTAATTTCCTTGGCGGATATAATATATATTCCGCTTGCGGAGATTTTCCAAATGTCACTGACCCAGGCTAAGCTACCCAGGGACTGGAAGGATGCCATTATAAGCCCTATATTCAAAGAAGGGGACAGGCAATTGGTATCTAACTACAGGCCGGTAAGTCTGACATGCATTATAGCAAAGGTAATGGAAACCATTATAAGGGATCAGCTTTTAGCTTATGTTGAAACACATGGCTTACTGGCAGTTGAACAGCATGGATTCCGACCAGGACGATCCTGCTTGACAAACTTACTGTTAGCTAGGGAAGATTGGGTCGAGGCCAGAGATAAAAAGCTTCTGTTGGACGTGGTTTTTATTGATCTTAGCAAGGCATTCGACAAAGTATCCCACTTAGGTCTCCTTAGTAAACTCAAAGGCTTCGGACTAGACCAATGCCTATGTGAGTGGTTTAGGGATTACCTAATGGATAGAAGGCAGAAGGTTAGAGTTAACGGTGTACTATCAGGGTGGAAAGCAGTATCCAGTGGAGTGCCTCAGGGAACTGTATTAGGCCCCTTGCTATTCCTACTATATGTTAATGAGCTACCAGGGATTCTTACTTCATCTTCATTGTTATTGCAGACGACATTAAGATAGGGAAAACTGTAAATAATAACGAGGATAGGTCGGCCCTACAAACTGATCTAGATAAATTAGCTGAGTGGTCGAACCTGTGGAGTTTGGAAACGAATTCTAGGAAAAGCGCAGTAATGCACTTAGGTCAGAAGTCTTATACGTCGTACTCCCTAGGGGACACAGAACTACCTGATGTTAACGAACAGAAGGACCTAGGAATCATTGTCAGCAATGATTTGAAAACAACTGCAAATTGCAATGCAGCCGCAGCTAAGGCTTTTCGAATGCTATGGGCACTCCGTAGGGCTTTCAAACGATTAGATGAGGGCATGTTCCAAATACTCTACGCAACATGTCAGGCCTCATCTAGAATACTGCGTACAAGCGGCGGGTCCATGCTTCAAAAAGGAGGCATATATCCTGGAAAGAGTACAAAGAGTAGGAACGAAATTAGTTAGTGGTATCTCACACCTTCCTTATGATAAGAGGATGGAGCATTTAAATCTCTTTCCGTTATCATACCGAAGGAAGAGAGGCGACTTAATTTTAGCATACCGTGTACTTAAGGGTGATTTAGGAACTGATCTTTCTAAACTTTTCTCTCCTTCTAGGATACATTTACGGGGTCACCCCAAAAAGGTGCTCAAGCCGAGGACGATTAAAATACGTGCAGAATTTAGATTCTCTCACAGAGTGGTCAACAACTGGAACCCCTTACCTGATTCAGTAGTAACAGCTCCATCGGTGAACGCTTTCAAAGAGAAGTTAGATCTCTGCAGCGATATATTTTGCAAGGATTAACACAGGCCACAAGAGCCTTCTATCCTTATCAACTGAATCTGAATCTACTCTAAGTCAAACTTTCTTGGAGCTAGCTATATCTATCAAGATACTCAGCTACTTGTAGATTGTCCACTTAATACTGACACGAGTCAGCACTGTAACAATAAGAATGACGCTGAGTTGCAGTGCATAACCGTTTTTATAAAAATTTTGCTAGTTTCAGTATAATATCACATAGATCTAAAAAATAACATACTACAAATAATTTTGTATAAAGGCACATCATAAGATAGTACTTTTGACAATGAAATAGTAACATAACATCAGTGATTTTGAAGGCCAAAACGTTGAGATTTTTGCGGCACCTTATGTACGATAGTAATAGGGCCTTGAAACCACTTGGTTACGGATGAATACAGTTGTAAGCATAATCTTCCCTTAGATGCATTAAGCTGACAATTACTTAGAAGAGTGCTTCTGCAGAAGTGGTAGTGAATAAGTTAACGGTATACCACAGTATAGTTAGTGCACTAAGTAGTACGCTAAATAATACTACGATTAGTGCTTAAGCATTGACTAACCGCACGGAAAGTTAAAGTTACTTCTTACTCATTAAAATCCTCATGGACTTCTTCCCAAACAACCGTTGGAAGACGGACGAGATGGTCAATCCCATGATATGTACACGTAGTGATGTAACGCAGATGTTCTAGTAAGCCAACTAGAAATCACTTCAAACAAAGTGAAAACAACTGATGACATCATTATTGAAAATTTACAGGACGTACCATTCATCATTTCATGTCGGATTCAGATTTCAGATTTTCAGATTTCAGATTTATTGGTTGAGGATAGGAGGCTTGGAGCCTATGTTAATCCTTTTCTAGTGAATTTCTTTGGTTGTCCAAACCCTTCTTGAACGAATCAGTTGAGGTCGGGAGTCGGTTCCAAGAGTTTATGACTCGATGTGGGAATCAGTACTCAGCAGCAATATGATTTCTTCTTGGCATTCGAACTCTGCTGCTATGTCCTCTAAGGTGATCCAACCTGGTGGGAAGGAAAACAGAAAATAGGTTAGGTCCGTAGTCATTATTTAAAATTTTAAACATTATGATTAAATCTCCTCTCTGCCTATGGTATGACAAGGAGAAGAGATTTAAACTGTCTAGTCTTTCCTCGTATAATAAATTAGTCATTCCGAGAACCATACGTGTTGCCTTCCTTTGAACCTTTTCTAGAATGTGTGAGTCCACTTTTAGACGGTGACTGGCGGCCTGGATGCAGTTTTCCAGTCTTGACCTCACCAGAAATGTATATAAGGAGTTGAACGTATCTCTGGTGATTCTAGTGAAGGCTCTACGAATTGCCCATAATGGCCTGAAACTACGTGCAGCGACCGCGCGACAGTGTGCTGTAGTTATTAAGTCGTGGCTAACTATGACACCTAAGTCCAAGTGAGTCTGAACTGATGGAAGTGTTATTTCCTCTAGTTAGTAGGAGCTCGTGCATGCTTGTCCAATGGGCATGGTTGCACATTTTGCCACATTTATCGGGAGCATCCATTATATGGACCACTCCGACAGTTTATTGAGGTCCAGATCAATTGTGGGGATTGTAACGCCGTATATGTAGGAGAAACTTCCAGACAGGTAAATGTAAGGGTGAAAGAGCATAAACAATGTCTAAAGGTGGTTCCAAAGACCTCTGCAGACTTGAAGAAGCTAGAAAACAACTCAGCGATTGCACTGCACTCGATAGAAACGGGACACAAAATCGACTTTGATAAGACTAAGGTTTTACAGAAAGGTTTTGGTTCATATAAAGAAAGACTGACTGCAGAAGCCCTACATATATGGGTGAATCCCAACAGTTTGAACAGACGTGAAGGTGTGATCTTAGCTGATGCATGGCAAATCCTGACTAATAATAAATAAATTGGATATGTTTCAACAACTAGTCACACTTGATCAAATTCCCGATTGTCTACGTCCTTGTATGGAGAGAATAACAAATCTATAAAATTATATTATATTTGTTTTGTTTTGTTTATTATACATGTTGATGCCTGTTCCTGGATTCACATGACAGGACAAACTTTAAAACACAAGAGATGTACTTTCATATATAAACATACTATTTTATTAATTTATTTATTATACATGTTGATGCCTGTTGCATGACTCATGATTGGACAAAATTGAAGAACATGAGTTGTTCCTTTTATATATAAACCTGTTTATTTTAATTCGATTAATTTCCCTGAAGAAGTTCGGACCAGATTGCCGAACGAAACGTTGGAATTAATCATTTCAATTTCGCTGAGATTTTACAAATATAATTTTATAAATGTTTATTGAGGTCCTTGAATATTTGAAATATGCAGTTTTACATTTAACTAGAGATGATAATCATGTAAAAGCTCGACTGTATGATGATAAACTCCAAAAGCTATATCTTCATACTCCCGGTTAGTGCAGGACTACGTGACAACTTAATAAAGACCTGTAATATAACGCACAATCCAAACTCTCCTAGCATCATTTCTCCTCTCGTCGGGATTCCTAAAAATTGGGCTCGCCAGATAATGCTTACAGAGTTGTGGTCCGGATAATTTTCCCCTGGAGTTTGTCACATATAGAATCTAGTGTCAGCCAATGTAGCCTGCTGGCAACTCCAAGAGAAAGCTGGATGATCATATGAAGGCGAAAGTCCTTAGCACATCCTAAAGGCAGATTAGTCCTGAGGGATTTAATGATATTATAAAGGATAGAAGAAGTTTACTGAACCATAGAAGCTTTGAGTTATTTATCCTGATTTATCACAGATTCTTAGAGAGGAACAGTTTTGCGTACTACTGATGTTTTCAAGGAAGTGTAAATTGGCAAACTTGCTGTTGAACAGCTATTAATTCCTATAACTTCTTACAACTCTACCAGCCTTAACATAATTTGGGCAGGAATAGGCGCTGTATATTCTCTTCGGCAGTTTGATGGAGTGAGTAGCGGCTGCTACTTGGATTTAGATTGATCTTCGTTTACGAGTCACTTAGCTGTGGCCAGATAGGATCCGCACCACAGTAGATGAACACAGGTATTACTATAGTACTTCTGGCTATAAATAAAATGAAGAGGAACTTAAAGTCTTTCAGCCAGTGTTAACGGCTAACTTATTATAGTACTGTGGCTTTATATCATTCCCCAAAATTACTAGTCACAGCATTCACTGCTGAATATTGTATTCTGACCCTCACCGTGGATGTCAACTTGTTAAGCCCTCGGCCAAGCATCTACGCCATTTTGCATGCGTCGTGTTACGTTCGTTCTTTCGTTTGTGCACAGTCCCTAGCTAGTTAAGCAATCATCCTCGCACTACGATTTCGTCCTAAAATTTACTTCGTAGTTCGCAGAACTAAATTGGTATATTGTTTTGCCTTTGGTCTACGTGGAACGAATACTATAGCAGTTGTGGGTATTGGATCGTGCGTTAGTGTACATTACCCTATACGTGAACGTCAACACCCTCGGCCTCTGGAGTACCTTGAGCATCTCACCTTTTTAGTTTACATACAGCACACATATAGTACACATTATCACATTCTTGAAGCTCCCCTTCTTCTGCCTCAATCTTACTGGTCTCACATCATTTTTTACTCATCCTTCTATTCCTTTTTATCACTCAACCTCTAGACTTCCGCTTAACTTGCCCAATCTGAAAACAGCCACCTACAATTGCTAATTTGGAATAAGCCAGTTGACAGGATGTGCGGAATCCACTTGAATACGCTCTCAGTTGCTAACGAGAGTACTGTGAGGGAGGTGTAATGGCACCAACCCATAAAACTACTACCTCCTGACGTACATAGTATTAGAAGAAGACATATAAGCGAACAATATTGTTTTCAATTATATCTTCAGGCTTTACTCTGATTTACATAGACGGTGATTTTGTGGATCAAATAATAATGATAATAATAACGCGGTAAATGTTTTGAACGTAGTTAATAACGATGATTATAATGATAACAAAATATTGATAATAAGGTTTATGCAGGTGGCGATAAGGAGGGAGGGTGGAGCATGCTGACCAGAAGATATGGTAGCGGTCACAAATGTGAATCGCTCCGATCTGTAGGACAGCAACATGCAATTTTTGACAGCTCGAGAATTAAACATCAGTCTGGACCCTCAACAAAAATAATAATAGAGGTTGTACAGATCTAAATTATAAAAAAGTTGCTTTTGCTCCAACCGTATACAAGCCTGTTCAGCTTCTTTTCAAGATGCTACCCATTGGGCCCTACAGAAATTCGTAAGACATCTTACAGGCCAGCTAGTCCTACGGGTTCTAATTTTCCAGATCTTTGAATTCACTCCTCACTTAAATATCACTTACCTACCTCACAATAATCTTTTTATTTGCGCACTATTATACTCTACTTTATGCTAGCTATCTAGGCCATTATTAAAGCTAAAACTTGCTCTTTGTTCATATTTGTTGCTTGCCCAAAGTCTGGTTGCTTTGATTAAAAACACAACAACACCAATGTTTTAACAAATCTATATCTTCATAGAAAACATCATAGTTTCCATGCTTAGACCAATATGGTAAGCATTAAACATTGCAAATGTATACTATCATTTCAAGTACTATAAAGCTTCCTCTCATTGTATCTATCTTGTAAATATACTTCCAATAATTTATCATTCATAATTGCATTTTAGACCATTTTGCAGCTGCGCAGAATTTTCTTCTCTTCCTGAAATAACGTTCAATAGTACTCACCCAGATATACGCTGTTCACTGGTTGACCATAACTTTCAGCAGGAAACGGAATGAAGTTTGGGTTGTCGCTCAACTTTGAAGGTGACCTTAGTAAATGGCTTACAATTTAACATTTATAAGAACTTGTTCTGATTGACTGTACAATAATTGAACAATTCAAACTTTCGAAAAAGTATTAATTAGTAATATTCCAGGATTGTAATTTATAACATTACTGATCGTGACAGTAAAAATGGCATGCATTTCTTGTAAACTTACCTGTTTATACGAAGTATAAATTATTATTACATTATTATATAATAACTAAGATAGTGATATGTGTATTTGTAGACAATTCAAAAAACAAATTAGGTCAAATCTTAAAATTTACGTAATATTAAAGGTGAAGTGGACAGATAATCAGAGTTTAAATAAATATCATAAAATACTAAGGAGATGGAAAATAAGAAGGGGTGTGAGGGTTTTGAACAGAATTCACCCAGGCCAAGGGAGAGACAAAGGTGGAACAAACTTCTTTTGTGTGCAAAGACTAGGATTGTTCTCTCGAATCCCCATAGCTTCAGCTATGTGCAAAAGGAGGGGTTCGAATTCCGTTGGAAAGGCTCGACGGAATGCGATAGATAACTTTGAAGGCGGCACTATTTCTGTCCACTTGGTGACCACTATCAATCGAATGATACAAAATAGAACTTCTTATAGACTTTATTTGACCTTCTCCGAACCATGAAGGAAGATGCTCATTACTGCGTTTCTTAAGCTGTCTAGTTTTTCGCTCTTTATACCTGTCTCCACAGGAGCAACTAAATTTGCAGATACACACAGAAGTGCCACAGCTAGGTAGCTTGTATTTCACTTGAGCAATCAAAATTGGTCGGCCGGAAAACGACAAACAAAGGGTGGTGGCAGTATAAGTCCGATTCATTGCTCTCGATAATCTCAAATGTGAGACT